GGCTGGGCAGTCCCATCGGGGTCTGGCAGGTACACAGCAGGTCACAGCCAGGCAGCAGCTCCCACTGCCAGACTGCTGCAGTGGGTAGAGGGTACAGAGAACTCTCAGGGCTGCTTCAGCAGTCCAGCTGGCACAAGGGGTAGTGTCCCCAGGTACCAATTGGCTGGGCCCCAGAAGCTCCTGAGACCTAGTAGCCCTGAGCTAATTGCCAGGGTGGCTTTTTATACTGCTGAGGCCAGGACAGGGCAGTTTTTTATACTGCTGGGGACAGCACAGGTGCTGGCCCCGGGCTCTAGCTCCCCCTAGGCGAAGATCCGGGAGGAGCCAGGCAGGGTTATTTTGCCCCAAATGGCACAATTTGCTTCACAACAAAGTGCATGTCCGAGCATGTGTGCTGAAGCAAAAAGCCCCGGACCAAATTTGCACCGCTTCTATTTGAGCAGCTGCAAGCGCATGTGCTTGCATGTGTGGACGCGCCGTATGACATCATCTAGTCCAGCTCCCTACTCAAGGCACTATCATCCCTATCTACACAAGCAGCAGATTGTGCAGTCCTTACTGCGCAGTCACTTAGTACATGGATAAGCAGTATGCTTATGCATTACTGCACCATACCATTGCTGCATGTTCTCTTTTCTGATGCTACTGCTCAGTAATATTTTGTGTGGATGTGCCCGGTATTAGCCAAACTCAGACTAACAAGTGGGAGCAAAAGGGAGTCTAATCTTGGACTCTGTTGAAAATTCCACTCTTGAACAATAAAGACCTCAGAAAGAATGGCAAAAATAAAGCCAATGTTTTCAGTATACCAGAAATGGTAGATTTGCAAGACAAGGGATGGGTCCTTTGTGTCAGGGAGTAAGGAACATGTAAAGAAGTAAAGGATTTTCAGAGAATCAAAAAATATTTTTTGCATTTGTCTACCAGAGAACATCTTTGGTTATCCCATACTAGTGTCCAAATAGGAAGTGCTGGAACAAATTGATTAAAGTGGAACAAGTTAATATATCATTTTTATGCAGGAGCTCTATAGGAATGAGGTGGCTGCACTGCTATCAGGAATATGTAGTCTTTCATAAAAATGACCCACTATGTCAGAAGACTGAAAGGCAATAAGATGCTAAAAAAGATCCTGGAAATTGCAGCCCAATAAGCCTTTCTTCATTTAGCTAATCAAGCTCAAATGATAAATTAAAACAGCATTATAAATCTATGTACCTTTCTGTACTGTGCCGACTATGACCATGGAGCTTTGTAACAAAATCTATGCATATAAAGATGATGATAATTTTCAGAATTCATGTACCTCTTAGCAAACATCAAAAAAGCTCTTTTCCAACTATCAGCAATACTTATTCATTCAACATGTCTGCTTTAATCAGAGTTGTTGTGTTTTAATGAAAAGGATATTGATTTTCATCTATCTGGTTTAGGAAATCAGTTTTTGTCTATGGTTAAGTTGACTATTCATACAAACCTCATCATGTGTAAGTATAGTGCATCTTGTTATTGACATTTTAACTCTCATAGTTTAAGAGGAGTTTTCCAATAGTTGTCTGAAACAAAGCTCTTTTTTGTTTTGTCAGCTAAAATAAGTTTTAGTGTACTCCCCATTGAGATCTTTATCATTGCTGGGATGCGTCCTTTTTTAATCAATAACAGCTCTGTTGATCTTACAGCCTGTGTTGTAAGCTCGAGTTACATTTTAGCATCCCAGACACTACTCATCCCCTTCAGAAACAAGTTTTTTTGTTTCCCACCAGTCAAAACATTATTGAGGCAACACATAAGATATAATAATGAGTCCTAAACCTATTAAAAAATGGAAGACAATAATAACCAAGAAAAATCTACCAGATGGTCATTTTAATAAATACACCGAAGTCTTTTTTTTTTTATTTTTTCCAATTTTGTTGAATAACATAACAGAAACTTTCAGACCATCAAACCAGTTTTCACAATCTTTCATTAAGTTTGCATTTCACAGAAATAGTCCTGACAAGCACTAATAGATGAATGTTTGTGCAATAATAAAACAGTATAAGGCATATTTACACCATCCTTACATACAGAACACCGTACACACAAAAAAATCACAGATCCAGAACAAAGCAAATTGAATCCTCTAGACATGTCACGTTTATAAGCTTGGCATTAAACAAATATTTATCCAAGCAACAGACAAATCTTTTGTTCTTGTGTGATTTATTTGTAACATTGTGCTCATGCAAAATGGATATTTGCTTTATTGCATTAACATTGAAAGAATACCTGGACTTGATTCTGAAACCAGTTCACTCAAATTTAAAACTCTGCTCTCTCTTTATCTATAGCAAGTTGGAGTCATTGTTACTGCTGACATAAAATGAAGAGTTATCTGATGACTGGGTTTGTATCTGATAAATTCCAAAATGACAATGAAGGTGATTATATTTTGAACTCTTTCTTGATCATGCACATTTTATTTTACTATTATAAAATGGTTTAGACCCAGTACCTTTTGCTTTTTATTTCTATGTTTTTTTTTTAAAGAAATCACATACTTTCCAACATCCACTGTTCACAGAAAGAAATGAGCAGCAGAAATCACTCTGACTGCAGAATATACCATAAGGACATCAGTAGGATAGTGGCAACTTAATAAACATCAAATGCACCAGAGATATGTCATGAAAGAGGTGATTACTATAACCCATATTTTTGTAAGAGTTCAGACTGCCATGGACGTTTGCGCTCTGGAAAGTAATCTGGAATGTGGATTTTTTTAAAATCTTGAATACATTTTCTCATTTCTTCTTCAACACTCAGCTTCTCACACACCTTCTTTTTAGAAAGATTTGTTTCTCTGGATTTGCTAATGAGAGTTTGAAAGAGCTCACTGTTCCTGCGTTTGTCTGGTGGTGGCATCCACTGCACAGGGGCCTTCTTTGATGGGCGATCCAAAGTTAGAGTATTTGGTTGGTGTCCTGTAGCCTGTTGGTTGCTGGCAGCATTTTCTTGAGGAGTGCTAGCCTCTGAATGGCTGTCACAACTAGAAGTGGACAACTCATTACACGAAGTCCCGCTTTCACTTCCTTTGTCTGTGATTTTGTCGTGCTTCCTTTCCTCATGTTCTTGTTTAGGAGAGACAATTCTCTGTGGTGGTCCTAGCAAAAAGGAAAAAAAAATCCATTAAGCAAGCAAGGGCCTAAAGAGAAAAACTAAACTGTGTTTTTATAATTTTTAAATACAGTGAATTCCGCTTGATAGAATCACTGGTTAATAGAATCAGCCACATTTTTTAATCAATACGGGAATACCAAAACCATTTGTATATTATTACATGTAAAAATTGCTCATATTAGAATCACAATTTTCAGTTTTTGGAATGATTTTACCCGAGAAGCCTGAAGATTTTGCAGTTTTGTGAGGAGCCCTCTACAGACTGGCAGGGCTCCAGCCTGCAGGGGGATGGGAGGGAACAGGAAGAGGGCCGTCAGGCAGGGGGCACTATGTGCATGTACTGTACATGCACATGGCCCCAGGCAACCTGGAGATCAGCTCCTGCAGGTAAGTGGGAGGGAGAATTGAGCACCTGTAGGGAGGGTAGGAGGGAGTTGGGCAGGGCTGGGGCCCCAGCTGTGAGTGAGACGGTTCCACAGGTGGTTCATCCAGGGGTTAGGGGGTGGGGGCTGGGCTCCCTGGTGACGCGTCCCCTGCGAGCACAGTAGCTTTGAGGGGCACAACCCTGTGCCACTGCCCTCACTACCTGTGCCAGCCCCCGGCCCCGCCCCATGCATAGATCTGGGGGGCACGGGTCCCCCCTGACCTCCCTAGGAGTGCACGCCATGCTAGGGAGCTGGCCTCACTGGGCTCCACGCCGCTGCAGCAGCTGCCACCTCCAGGGGGCTGTGAACCTGGGTCCCTGCCCCATAGCCCTAGCAGCTGGGGCCCCCTCTGGCAGGGCTGGAGGGCTAGGGGCTGGGGGGCGAGAGGCACCAGCAGGGCTGTGGGGGCTGTGAGGGGGGAGTGAGTATTTGTTTTCTTAAAAGAACAGGTCTCCTTTTAATGGAATCAGCTGGTTACTAGACTCAAATCGCCATTTCCCAATGTGATTCTCCAATAAGAGGAATCCACTGTAACATGCCGCACTGTCACAAGTTGGGACCAGATTCTCAGCTAGTGGAAGTTGTCACAGAATCATCTTATTCAGTCTACAGCAACCTGAGGGTGTGGTGCTACATGTGTGTTCAAAGCAATATTCTCCCCACTAAAATATATTTCTATGTCAAAAATTAATTCATTGTCTGCAGAAGAATCTAGGTAATGACATGTGCATAATGCTGACAGGTTATCTGAACCAGAAATCCCTCCAGGCATGTTTAAATAAGCTATTTTGCTATTACTTTCCCATCAGTTTATGGGAAAAATTATTTTTTAGTATTAGGAAAATAATACCATACAATTTGCAAAACTTTTCCTTTGCTTAAGTGAAAATGCTCCTACTGTTATGGTTGCATTTTGGGAAACTCCAGGCTATTTTTTCTCAGAGGTTGGTTCAGATGTCTCTAGATATCCCCATTGTACTGAAACTTAAGATTCAAAAGTAGAAGTATTCTACTAGTAACAGGGAGTGTCTACATGAGATGCTTACTGTGCATTAGCCTAATAACACTGCATAGTAGCATGGCAGTTAAAAACTGTGCTAATAGCCTACTGCGCAGTGTTATTAGGCTAATGCGCGGTGTGCATCACAAAAAAACAGTGTGCCAGTGCTACTGCGTAGTAACTCTAGTTACTGTGCATTTAGTTAGTACTTTATTAAGCAAGTACTAAACTAAATGCGCAATACCTAAAACGCATTAATGAACGTGTAGAAGCATCCACAATGTATGTACTATTAACTGAGATTCTTGGGGCCCAGTTCCAGTTACACATCTGTTTTGTGCCACTGACTTTTGTGAAATTACAGTAAATTCAGTTAATCTTGGTATGAATTCAGCTGCTGATCTCGTGTCATACAAGCCAGCGTGTAAAAGGCTGGTATGCAGTTGCTAGTAAGATGATATAGGAACTTCTGTAGCATCTGTGAGTCCAAAGACATTTAATGGCTTATTACTGACTTTGTGGTGCTGAATATCAAATCTTGGCTTTTATTGTCTCTGGATATTATTTTTGCTCTGATATTCCTCAGTAAAATATAAACATGAAGCATTAGATGAGAATTACTTAATGCCAAGTGTTTTCACCTCTGCAGGCCTTATTTCAAATCCATAGCTGTAAAACAACAATTTCACAGGTGAAACAAATGTAATGACGCTATTTAGAAAGATGTCCACTCACATCATCAAGTTTTGGATCAGACTCTTGGGGCTAGATATATAAGCACCTAAAGATGTAAATAGAGGCCAGAGGTATTTGAATGGGATTTGGCACCAAAATCTGATTAGGGCCTGCTTAAATTCCCTTTGGCAACAATCTGCAATACTAGAAATCCAAATACCTTGGAAAATTGAGCCTTTGCTTTCTTAGTTCAATATAACTAGTGACAAGCTTTGCATAATACTAGAAGTTTAAGCATATTACAGATCATCTATGAGAAAGACTAGGAGCAGTCTGAGAGAATATTTTCAGCCACCTACTGAATATTTAAAAAAATTGAGAATCACCCACACATATGTAAAATGTATAAAAAAGAACAAATATTCTTAATATCTTATAATGTAGTACAGCAAAGCCTGTGTTGACTGGCACCTTACAAACCAGCATGCTCTGTTAACTGGCAAAGATGCCTGTTCGGGCCGCTCAGTTATCCAGCATATTTTGTTATCTGGAACCCCCCCATTCCCCGTGGGTGCCGGATAACAAAGCTTTCACTGTATTATGATTCAGATTAACCTGAAAATGTTGAAATGTCCTCTGGCTGTATGAAATATGGTATAAAAACACAAAACTTATACATAATATCCTACCAGCATTTTTCTTTTATTTTAGTCATCAATTTAAGACTTCCTTAGGTACCTGCAACATTACCATGAATCATTTACTGAAAGATATGAATAATCAAGAAAGGACACAAAAGTCCATCATGGCTTGTCCTGACCTTACTAACTATAGAAAATACAAATCAATTTCTATTTCCCTGTTTAATACCAAACATATAACTCATGGCTGGAGCAATTTGCCTTTACATACTCTTCCAAAGATGAGCATCTTCCAATTTCTTAAGATGTTATATCTGCCTTGCTTTTATTGTCACTGTTGGCATTTTATTTTATGATTTAAAAGCTTCTGTATACAAATGTTTCCCATATGCAAGAATTAAACATGTATATGACATGTATATTGATTTCAGGCACAGCTTAAAAATCTTGAAGCTCTATAAGTAAGTCAATGGAATTTTTCTGGGTTTACAACACATAATTGAGACAGGAATTGGGGAGTCACCCCAGTTCGCAATGATATACTCCACTGAATAACCTAAATTCAGGATTACTTTAGGCATTGCTCAGGTTTCATCCATATCTCTCACTTCAAAAATGAACAAATCCTTGCTCATAAATAATACTCTTTTTTCTCCATTTTTTCCTAGGCCACCTGTTATTGATACTACACTAAAAAAATTTCAGAGAGTGTTCTGACAGTATTTTCAACCTAGGTAAAACCAGAAAGCACTGAAAATCTCAGGAAAGCCTAATCTCAAAAGGCTTCTATTTTCAATGTCCAAACCAGAGAGGTTTGGATAAATTTAAATTGGTCTCTAATCCAAAAGAGCCCTTGGAACTTTTGAGATTTACTTGCCACTTCAAAAGAAGAAGTATTCTACCAGTAACAGGGAGTGTCTTCATGAGATACTTACTGCACTTTAGCCTAATAATACTGTGTAGTAGCATGGTGGTTAAAAACTGTACTAACAGCCTGCTGACATGCAGGTGTCAATGGGCTGGATATCCTTCTTGCCAGCCATGCTCATGTATAGGTTCCACCTTAATTTTTCATCCCTATCCCCACAATGACCTCACTCTAGAAATTCAGAGTTAGATTTCCCTACCTGGTGCAATTGTAATTTTTCTGTAACACTGGAAACATCTACACATTCTATTAACTGGAACTAAAAACTATTGTGCAATAATCCTACAAGGGAGCACATCTACACATGTTCCTTCTTGTGAGCAAATTTGCTCCCAATGGAAGCAACCCTGTACCACCCTGCTCTGCCGCCTTGAAGCAGACAGGGGGAGCTCCAGGCTCCCCCCCACTCCCCATGCTAGCTCGGGGGCTGGCAAGGGGCACAGATAAGCCTATGAACTGCATTTCATCAATCTCCTAAGTTCAGAAACTCATGGATTCAATATAGACATTGGAATTCTGACACACTACAACCCGCCGGACATCTGACTCCCCAGGTACCTCTCCACTTTTACCTGCTACATCCCGCTTCTCCCCTACCCCAGCCTGTATCTTACCCCCTGACACCTCCATTTCCATTTTCACTAACTGGCTTTCTTGCCTTCATTGCATCCCAGCCTCTGCCTTCTATACTATTCCTTCCATCCAGGAAGAGCGCACACACCAACTGCTGGTGCTTCCTCAGCCTGACAAAGGGTTTTCAACCTGAAAGCTTGCTAAGATATATTTCTCCGACTATTTAGTTGGTCTACTAAAAGATATCAGATTGACCCAAAGAAACTTGTCTGCCTTAGACCAACATGGCTCCAACCTACACCCCTACCACCTGTCTCCGGTCAGCTGACTGGAAGGAGACAGGTCCCTGGGCACATCTAAGCCCCAGAGCTGAGGCTGGCAGGGACAGTTCTTTGGCAGCTGCTGGAAAAGAAGCTTCTGCAGGAAAGGAAAGAAAGGCTGTGTCAGTTTGGCTGCCTGAGATACTGCTAGTGCTACTGTGCTGTTTACCTGTTGTTATTTAAAGTGATGGCCTGGAAAGAAGTTGTGGGGGAGGAGGAGGCCTCATTGGGGCATGCTACCATGCCGTGTAGAGGCCCCAGTGCCAGTGAGGATGCAGCAACAGGGGCATAGAGAGCCCAGAGACAATAGAAGGTAGAGTGAGACTGAAATCTCATTACAGGGATGATATTGATATACTATCTGCGATGCATGGGGCATGGTAAGGGGTATTTGTGAGCCACATGTCTAGCCCATAAAGTGTCCCCTTGAGGCACCTACTTAGAGCAGGTCCCAACAAGGTGTCCAAGAACCTACAGGATTTAGTGGGGTCCATTAGGACCGTGACTGAGCTGAAGCTCGAGGGCAGCCTCCCTATATATTATCTTTTCCAACAAGACATAGAGGCAGGCAAGAAGAGAAGGTGCCTGCAGGGTGGACCTGGCACAGTCACAGGGCCCTAGGATTATCACGGGCATCTCTAGGGACCCTACTCCATGACACAGTGCAGCTTCCTGGAAATCCCTGTACCTTTCTCCTTGAAACTCAGCAGTCTTTGTGGCCTCAGCAGGTGATACCATGCCTGCTGTTTTCACCCCACTCCACCTTAACACGCATACGTGACATAAGTTTTGCTTGTCAGCACCTTGAGGTACAGTTTCCCAGAAACTCCTGCACCTATATCTTTGAAACTTGGCAAGATTCATGGTCTCATCAAGGGCTACCATGCCTGATATTTTCACCCCATTCTGCCTTAAAACACACACATGACATGAGTTTTATTCTCAGCACCTTGAGGTACAGTTTCCCAAAAATGGCTGCACCCATCTCCTTGAAACTTGGCACACTTCATGCACTCAGAGGGGGCTACCATCTCTACAGGTTTAATCCAAATCAGGCAAGAAATGACAATGTTATAAGCATTTTAGTTATTCCCCATTATAGCCTATGGCCAAGACACCGAAACGGCATTGAAACAGCATTGAAACTTGAAACAGTTTTGGTCAAAATGAAATGAGACAGCAATTTGAAATGCCAAAATGAATCACTGTCCCGTTGCAATACTGAATCCAAAATGAAAACGAAACACAGGCATTTCGCACAGCCCTAGTAAATACCTCAAACATTTTTGCATATATATATATGACCAGGTAAAATATTGAATTTCATAGTTGGTAGGGTTGGAAGGGACCTGAGGAGATCATCTAGTCTGACTCCCTGCCGTGGCAGGAAAGAGTACTGGGGTCAAACGACCCCAGCAAGATGTTTGTCCAGCCTCCTTTTAAAGACCCCCAGGGCAGGAGCCAGCACCACTTCTTTTGGAAAGTAGTTCCAGGTCCTAGCCGCCCTGACAGTGAAATAGCGCTTCCTAATGTTTAGCCTGAAACTACCCTCTGCTAGCTTGTGTCCATTGTTTCTTGTAACTCTTGTAAAGTAATTTACTTTGCCTGTTCCTGTCTTTTTTTCTGTGTGCGCTTTCATGTGGATTTTAGCAAGAAAAAAGTCTTAGCAGAAACAATTAATAGTCACCAAAATTAATTTCAAGCAATTATAGCAAAATATTAACAGAAAGTGAGTCATACACTATTTGCACTAAGAATGTGACTGAATGTTATGTGAATATGAAAAGCAAACAAACTATGCCTTGCCTTGCCTTGCCTTGCCCATCTGTTTAATGCTAACGAACCAAAATGCCTCAAATACAGAATTTTAAATACGGAAAATTTCAAGGAATTATTCTTAAACAATTGTCAGATCAAGAATTGTTGGTTGAAGTTATTCAAGAAATAATTCTGAAAAACATATGACATTGAAAAAAAATGTGAGCTGCTCCTGGACATTAATTAATGAAGAACTGAAACTATCTGACTAAATCATGCAAGAAGCAAGTTTGTATATATCTTTTACTGGATTAATTGTATAATTATATAGTGCTGGCTTTGTGCCTAAAAGCTTGTCTAACATCTCTCCAACTATACAGTTGGCCAAATAAAAAATATCATCAAAATAAAACCCCTTGTTTTTCAGATATTTGTGATACCATCGAGCCTACAAAAATGCTCCAACCCTGAATATTTCATGGAAGTTTCTTTTAATTCAATTTCCTATAAAAGAGAAAAATGCCGAGTCAGAAACACTAGCATACTGTGATATCAATATTATTACTTGTTATATTTTAGCGCTTAAAATATTTACTTTCTTACACTTTCATAATTTGGACTTAAACTTAGGGTGATCATATTCCAATTCAAATAACTTAACTGCTTCTGTTACAGGTGCATTGACAGAGAACAAAGATGCTGGTTTCCTGCTTCAGCTACCGTACATGTGTCCTAGCTTTTATAATTTAGTCTGGTTTGGCCAACCTGTGGCATGGGTGCTACAAGTGATGGAGCAGCCTGTGTGTAGCACATGGTAGATTGGGGAGGGGCATGCAACATACTGGCAGATAAGGCAGGGAGCAGAAAGTAGTGAATTAGGTTAAACAGGGAGCACAGGATAGAGAGCAAAAAGCAGAGCAGCAGCTTGGTCAGGGAGCACAGGGTATGAAGCAGAAAAATGAGAAGCACATGAGGTAAGAGAAAGAATCCAAGTAGCACCTGGAGACAGTACGGGGCTAATTTGTGGCATAGCTGCTAAAAAACCTGGGCCTTAGTGATTTAGCCTATGTGTATAACACCAGATTCATTAATGATTCTTTCGCCTCCACATTTTATTTGTAGGTTATGTCTCATAGTGTTTTTTCTGTTTGTTTTACAAGAGACTGTTATGCTCAGAGTGCTCCAAAACATTCTGAGCATAATCAGTTAGCTATTTAATGTACTATACATTTTATATGTAAAAAATGCTGATAAAAATCATAGTTTGAAAATAAAATATCCAACACACCAAGTGTGCCCAATATATAGCAACAGAGAATTGATCAGAAAAGAAATATTTCTATTACGTAAAACATTAGGTACCAAGGAAATGATCATCCATGCAACAAAAAATAAAATGTTTTGGATTTTAATCAGACAAAATCTAACTTTTTCAGTTTTAAAGAAAAGCTGTTTTAGATTTAAACTGGATAATCTTGGGGTCTGTTTATTTAAATACTATTTATACCATCTGCATGGTAAGAACAAGATGGTCTGGAGCAACTTCATGGTTAAGAAAGAAATAGAGAAGCTTTCCGTGATCACAGTACCCTTCTTCAGGGCTCTCATCAAAAAGCCAGTTTTTAAGAATTTACTGATTTTAGATGCTTCCTTTGTCAAAGGTAGGGCAGAATTCTTGCTACATGCAACTTTACATAACTTTCTGCTACTCTGGGCTGGACACAGGTATGGGCAAACCAGGCAACTGCCCAGGGCCTGGACAGAAAGGGGGCCTGAAAATGTTTTTGGTTTTTTTTTCCCGTTGTCTGATTATTATTAGCATTATCTCTGGTGAAGGGGGGCTCAATACTAAAAGTTCTCCTGGGGCCACCAGGAGTCTAGGTATGGTGCTGCTGCTACTTATAGGTATCACAATTTGCATAGAATTTGATCTTGTACTATACATTAACTCAAGACCTATGTACCATTTTAATTCTTACTTTAAACCTATATGACCTTTAATTAGGGATTAAGCAGTGCAGCAACCTTATCTGACCCTTCTGAGAAAGGATAACTTTTATCCATTCTGCACACTACACATGGACTCTATTTTTTATCTTCCAGAAGAGGATCATTTAGTGTATGGAATTTCTAAATGTTACAAGGGCATAGCTCTCAAATCCTGAACTTAAGGGTTTCAATTTAAAGATTTCAGTGTAGCAAAATTTTCTGTTCATGATTTTTTATGTTCTGCAGTTTTCATTCAACATTTTCAAAGCAGTAAGACTTTCTGAAGCTTTCTTAAAATCCAAAGTCCACTGAATTGAGTTTAAGTCTCTGCACCTATCTATATTTAATATACAATATTAAAATATTCCTGGGAAGGATGATTGGAAACCAAGTTTTCCCCCTCTTTGTTCTCTAGACCGATGAATATTTAGTCATTCCATGACAAGTAGAACAGCTTCAAGATGAAAGATTATGAGTGCTCTTTTCATCCAAGACTACCTGGCAGTTCCATTGAAGAGGTGGGCTCCAGTTCTCTTAAACTAGAGAGAGACATGTATTACCCACATCTTGAGTAAATACAGTAAACCCACATCTTGAGTAAATACTCTAAACTATGAGCTATTAGATACAAAGGCCACTAATTGCATTTGGTATACAGCATGATCTGTTAGGCCTGTCCTGAGAATCCCTGTTGAATTGGGTTCTTCAGGTGAGATATGCAAAGTAAATCCTAAATAGCCTTAGATCTGATACAGGCTCAGCAATGACTAGACTGAGATGCTTTCAGTCACGCAGTGAAGTAGGCCTTTAGGTACCTGGGGAATTTTAATATATGAAACTTGGGTGTACACCAAAGGCTAGGTATGGCAGCTGAGCAAGGGCTTGAAGGATATGGACACTTAAATAATCCCTAAACCTTAAAATCCCTTTAATGGATCAACATTAACATCCAAAAAAATTTCAGCTTCAGAGCCATAGTTTATATAAATCAATGTGTCCCCCACAAAAATTGGATAAATCAATACCCTGATGAATTATATATGCTGATAATGGTGTCCCAGAGTTCAACAATGTTTCTACCTATGTATGTGAAAAATCATGACCATGTTAAAGCCAATGACCCCAATGGTGTTAGAATTTACCTTTAATCGATGGAAAAGTCTTATGTCCCTAATTTCATTTGCATATATCTCCTTTTCACTACTGAGAATTCACAAAGGTCCTTGACTGGGTGTAATTTACTGTAAAACTGTCCCAAAGTGGGTGCAAAGGCAGGACTAGTACATTTTACTCTCCTTCTCTGTAATAACTTTCAAGGGACTTTTCTGAAATTTTCTCCCAATCTGGCCTTTGGATGAAAAGAATATCATTATTTCAGGCCAGAAGAAAATATGAGTATGCTGACTATATGAAAAACAGACTATTGTAGCAAAATGTACAGAACCCTTAAATGTAGTGTTTAGTTCACGACACCTGACATGATAATAAAATGTTTATTATAAAAAAAACTGTCAAAAGAACCTAAATAAACTATGGGAATCATAAAAATAGGAAGATTACAAAATGGTAAAACAGATTCCCTGATTTGTTTGGACTGAAACAAATTTGTTTGTTCTGTTAGTTTTTATTCCATTTGCAATATAAAAGAACAAAAGGATTTCTTCCAATAATGATTACAATTCTCCATAACCATCTACACTAGGGGTGTGTTCCTTTCTGATATCAACACTACATTTGGAAATGTCATGTGTTACTTAGCTTTTATTAGGCTCAGAAGTATTAAGATTTTTTTGGAAATATTTATTTGTTGTTTGAACTCATAGACATTTCAAAATGAAGACTATGTGTATGATTGCACACTCGATGGAGCCTTTTATTTTAATCTCCTTACCTGCCGTGAGTTGATAAAAAGACTCACTGTGTAGAATGCTACTGCATTGGGCACAATTCCCACAGGGGAAATTACCCTTTAATAGTGTTAAGCTCAATGGCGTGTGAATGGTTATGTGGTACTTGAAATGAATGAACCAATTTATCTTTAAGATTAGGACCACATGCCTGTTAGTGATAAGTGCTTTGTCTCAAAAGAAAGAAAAAACATAAAAACATTTTTGGTCATATTTACTACCATCTGGTGTTAAAACTGAAAATAAGATAGCCTTTGAAATGGCATCCTAAACACCTTTTAGAAAAGGTATGATGGAATGAGTTATAAACATTCTCTGAGAAAAGTCATATGTGTGGTAACTATAATTCATTCATTTATGGTTGCCATAGTGACAATATACATAATAATAGAATCCATTTTAGTATGCATCGAGAGGAACAAGACTGAGCCACCATCAAGATAACTGAAGAGCTTTGAGCCCTTCAGAAAAAAGAAATTTCATACAAACATATGCTATCTACATCAGTTTACATTACTTCTTCCTGAAACCAATACACCAGTAGACAGGGGTTTCCTTTCTTGCCAACAAATTGTAGATAGAAGAAAAGACAAATCTCAGAGCACTGACCTTTAGGTTATGGGCAGAAGTTACACATAAACCAGCATAAGTGATAGGAAACTGATTCAAACTTGTGACATAACAGAAGTTCAGTGCGTCTTAAATCAGTCTATCAAGCCTGTGTCCCAGATCCCTTCTTGACTGAAGTTACCTCACAGTCCCCCAGCACCCCAGGATGCTCTGCAGCCCTGGGCCGTGCTGTCTGCTCCAATGGACCAAGGTCCTCACCCCCAGCTGTCACAGAGATAAGACTGTAAAGCCTCTGCTCCCTAGCCTGAGTCCTGCCTGCTCCTGTCAGCCCCTGTTCTGATGAACAGCTCCCCGGCTTCCCAGTCCAGGTCTGCACAGCATGGAGGGATGGAAACCCCCCCCCTGGCAGGGGTTCCCCCTCAGCCCACCAAACCCTTGAGCTACAAAAGCCCACACCCTCGCCAGCCATTGGCCTCTGTGAGAGGCAGGGGGAGGAAACACAACCCCTCCCCTGGCACCAGCC